TTTTGCGAAATATCTTTACTAGACCGGCCCTGAATTCCGGCATCCTTACGGTGTACACGAGTGGATTTGCTAAGGAATTTACCCCGACTGACATATACATTGCTGAGGTAAAATAGAAATATGACCGGTTGGAAAGCGTATTTGAGATATCTTTGTTGAAATACCTCAGGGTTGTTACAACAAAAAATGGCAACCAAGACAGAAGCGAGACAAGTGTAACCCAAATTAAAGTGGCGGTTAATTTTCTATCTCTATTGGTTGCACCATGGTGCTGGGGATTGTGACCATATCGAACCTTGATAAACAACGATATGTAAGAAAAACAGATGATGGAGAGAAAAAATACATACCAAATAAGTGAGACCATGAGACTTATGCTGGTATCCCGTTTAAGATAAAAATGTAAAACAGAAAGAGATGTTTCACAGAATGGAGCCACTAACCAGGTACTGGAAATTATAACTCCATACACCCATTTCTTAGTAAAATGATGTTTGAATGGGAAAAAGGTAGCATGTAATCGTTCCAACGAAATAGCTGCAAGATTAACAAGGGAGGTGAGAGGAAAAAGATCCCTCAGAATGACTAAAACCGAAATCTTATATTCTCTCGTTTGAGCGTCATTGTGGTCCCTTGCATAACAGAAGTACCAAACTCGAATCATGGCCAAAGCAGGAACAGAGACGAATCCAACTAAGAAATCGACTATGGCCAAATTGATGACTAAGAATTTACTCCGGCGATGTAAATGGCGCTTCTTCGTGAATACAATAATAGTGATGAGATTTAAGATGACTATTGCCAGACATTCAGAGATGAGCATCACCAACAGTGTAGTACAATCTGATGTAAGAATGGCTGAACGTGTCCTTTCATAGGTGCTATTTGATGTTGTGTTGCAGGTGTTGCTGGCCATTTTGTCCCTGCAAAATGATGTTAATATCTTCAGTTAACCACCATTCTTTAGGAAAACCACGACGGGTCTTCATTTGAACTCAAAAGACTTGCATTGTGGAGGTGTTTTTTAACAGTTTTGTTCCCAGGATCGTTTGAAAATGCGAGTGGAATGGAATGGAATATGGATTTTCCTCCGTATTAACACTTTGGTCAAAATCATTACAATTTCCTCAAATGTTATTGGTGCATCACTGCTTTATATATCACTTATCTCTCCGTACAATTGTAATCGGATGGTGCAATCGGGCAGTTGGCTGTAATCAGACACCTGTAATCGGATAGTTGAAGCAGCCAATCATACTAAGTCCACTCAGCTAAATCACACCAATCACAGAATTGATCACAATAACCATACCAACAACCTCTTACCCTGAAAAAAAAAAACTAGGAAGTTTACCAACTTTTTGCTTTAGACATTGTCTCTATGTACTAAAGATATTGGTCTTAAATACATTCACTTTTTTTTTTCGGAAATTGTAATGGTTATGATTAATTGGTAACAGGACTCGTCCAATTCTGACTAGTGATTAACAAATCGGACTCTCGCTTCAGATCTTGTGAGATAAAGAGTTTAAAAGAGCTTAGATCTTCCTCTTCATTTTGTCAGCAGATATTTTTTTCCATTGCCACAAACATTGATATCATTCTTCACTGACATGCATGCTTCAGTATTAAAGAATGAATAAACCGACGGAAAATATGCATGATTGCGAAATGTATGTGGCAAAGTTAACAAAAGGATATCTTAGTTCAAAAATAGGAAAATAATGGTCGCATAAATGTTAGTTAAAGAGTATTTCAACTGGTAAAAAATAAAATGCTGGAAACATGTTTGGTTTGATTGATAGTAAGTTGCACGACGAAATGCACAGTATGTCGTGTTAATTATCAGAGAAATGCGAATGCATTAACCTTGGTCAAGCGTTTCCAATGTATTCTATTTTCCCGTTCTTTAGTTTTCAAATCAACAATATTGTCGTCCTCTTCCAGGGGCTATATGAATTTATTGGGCTGTTGCACCTACATGGAAAACAACGGGTGGAAGAGATTTTTCGAATTTGTTCGTTCAGCTTCACGGTAGCTGCTAAACAATTGCATCCAGATGGTGAACTAACATCAAAATAGATTTGTTCAATATATTTGTAACAAGAGCAGAACAAAATGAAAACGTCTCCTCCGTTTCGCTTCTTCTGCTCTTAAGTAAAGCGAAATCATGGTGGATGTTTAAGGGTCTGTATGCATGTGTAACCTCTTTGAGGAGCCCAATAATCTCTCTGGCCTTTTTTCTTTACAGTTAGTAATACTCCTAAGCAACTGCCTCATTCCTTTGAAAAGCAGCAAATAGGTTATGGGGTCGATCCCTTGAATTTTCTCGAATATGTTAGCACTATTTATATTAATGCATTAGTTTCCTCAAACCTAAGGTTTTCCACTCTTCTTAGCCTAAACGTCCAATAAAGTAACTCACAGAAATCCTCGAATCAAAATAAGTTGGAAAGTAGCTGCTCTCGAGTATCACAAGATTGAGTTTTGGAGATCGTGCAAACAGAGCGGCGTGCTGGTTTGTGTAACTGTTGTTGTTACTAGCACGATTTTCAAGGTAATTCGCATCGCGCTTGTAGATATTACAACAAAAGCTGACAAGCTGGAAACAGCTGATCGACGCTCTGTTGGGAGGATTGACAAAAAAATCTTGTACCGACACATAAGTATTAGTTTTCACATCAATTATTGCACTATAAGCCGAGTTAAACGGCCTTACTGTCGGTCAAATCACAGGCAAGTCATCCGTCTACGGAGACGAATGGGTAATGGATGTTGCATTGGCCAAACTATGAGGCAGTATTTGATAATTATCTTTGTTTTCGTAGGTAATCTTATCTGCTCCATGTCAAGTTTAGAACAAAAGCTTCCAAATTGTTTTGCGAAACGTTTGCGTCTGTTGTGAATTGAAGTGTTGAATACTCAAAGGAGGCCTAAACCAGAATGTTCCTTTCCAATAATCTTCTTTCTTTCAATAATTCAACCGATTGGTTCCTGAAGCGTTTTACACTCTTGAAACACTACTAACTACCAGGCTCAGAGTAGATGATTTATTTCTTAACTCTTGGAACATGGGTATACATTTGAGTAGCTACGAATTTGATGATAAAATTTCAGCTGGCGTAAATACAATGGCTTATTTGCGCACTCATAAATAAGGCCGAAATCAAAGCCGTAGGGTTAACATTATGCAAACAGCAAGCTAGTCAGCAAGTAATGGCTACATCGTCGAATAACTTAAGACTTTAATATTGTCTCATAACTGATCATTAGACCAGTTTCAGCTTCGAGACTTTGGATTCCAGCTGGTCAAATTGTTCCAATGCTTGACGAAGAAGAACTCGCGTTGTTTCAAGATCGGCACGTATTGTATCTCCTTTGGTTGTCATTTCCCAGCTATCATCCATGGCCGCTGCTGGAGGGAATGAAAAAGGATGTTGGCATTTTTGAATCTGAGAATGGCGTGTAGTTAAACTCATTCCGCTGTTCAAATATAACTCAGGGAACTTCGAAGTGATATCGTATCCAAGTATGCCGGTTCACCAGGTTTGAGAAATTTCAGTGAACGATGATGATGATTAAATGAACGACTCTATTGAGGCTCTGAACCAGTATATTTCTTTTCTCATCCCGAGCTTTGGCAGATCTGCTATTTCGTCAGTGGCCCAAGCTCTCGATCGAATCGTCAGTCGGTCAATAAACGTGCTACTGTAAGACAACTTCAAACAATAATAAAAAGGATAATAAAAATGATAGTATTAAATCCATAATAATACTAATAAAAGTAATAATAAACAGACTCATTAGGATAATCGATTGAGAACTTATCTATCATAAATAATGCTATGAATACTTACCTATTACGGTATTTTGCTTCCCTTTTCCTTTCTTTCTCAATAATATGTCCCACGCAAGTCCAATAAGAAGCATTAGAACCAATAGTCCAAGTGATATATACATCAAGTACTTAACAAATGGTGAGGAATCATCAAACAGATTGAAGCTTTTTGAAGACGTCTGGTGCTCAAACTAAATAAAAATGGAAAACAAGTACATAGAATAATGACTGTAAATATAAGAAAATCATATATGTGCACTGCGGTTGAAGAAACGATTTGAACTCATGACCTCTGCGATACCATTGATAGAGCGCTGCACCAGTATCACAAAGGTCATGGGTTCAAATCCCCTGCGGGCCTGAATGTTTTTTCAGGCCTTATTTCAACTACTAGTTCAGTAGTGTTCATAACTGCGAGGATCGCTTCTATTTAACTACATGGAATTTGTACATTTCTATAATTCACCACATACATTTTAAGCTACTCCAAGACGATCCAGTGAAGCACTTGTCATAGTTGGTAGAGATGATTTCTTGAAAATCCGATAGATTTCTATGTTTTATGTTTCAAGGTTTTTTAAGCACCTGACCATCCGTAACGCTAAATTATTAACTAACCGGCGTATGGAAATTTCCCATTGTTCCAATGTGAACTCATAAATATGACTTTCACGGGTTCTTGGAGCTCTCAAACTAGATAACAGCACTGTTATTTTCATCCTTTTTTTTTTGGCTGCCTTGCCTTACTTTGAACCTCTTTCCATTAGGTTAAATGGGACAGTGTTATATCAAACCTCTGTTTCCACTCTTTCAGGGTACACAGAAATTAAGAGACTAACGCACCAGAACCTTCCTAAATGTAATAGCAATTAGATTAGACGGAGTTGTCTGCAGTTTTTTTTTTTGCCCCACATTTTATGGGCGGGACTGAAACGCCTTAGCTCCCTTTAATGAACAACTGAAATGCTGAAAGTCCTCGATGTGACAAGGTTAATTAAACATATGTGCATTATTTTTTGTTATTTAAGGATGTCCTTTTTCAATTGATGCGAAAGAACTTGTAGACTGAGACGACTAAACAAAGGAGAGATGTTTTACCTTTCATGCACGTGTACGCGAAAGATACTTTTAAACAGTAGAGTAACGTTGCGTTATAGAAACATTACGTTAGACTAGGTACCTCGTAAAACGAAGTCAAGGTTTGCATTGATCTCCAAATGGCGGAGCGATGGTAATTTTGTAGGCATTCAGCAAGTTCTCGTTTGTTCTCATTGAATAGAACTCCTACGTCCCTCTGCAAGTCTAACTTCTTCACAGCGAGAAGAGTTTTAAGTTTGTCTCTTTTCTGGTAATAGGAGGCTGTATAGCGATCTAGTAACATTCCCTTGACCTCTTTTGATTTGAGTGCATCGACAGCATCGTCGATGTTGTTGTAGACTGAGAAAATAAAACAAACAAAACCGATAACGAGAAAATATATCACACACACATACACACACACACACACACACACACACACACACACACACACACACCAAATGATTTACTATTGTGTTATATCTTCCCCTTTCCTTAGTTCACAATGCTCTCTCAGGTTGTACATGCATTCATTACTTTCTGGATGTGCGTCTTCTTTCAGTGCATGTTGATATTCTGTTCCATTTCCTATCACTCCAACCTGAAAAAATGTTAAAACAGAATTATGTTCAGAACATAATTATCCTTAGTTCAATGTTAAAACATAATAATGTTCAATTATGAGAAGTTACTGAAGGACAACTTGCGCAAACTCCTAAAACTTTGGTAAAACAGGAAGAGTCTTTTTCTCGCCCATGCCAAGTGATATGAAGCCCTCAGGGGAAATTTTCGTACCGTGCCTTCCGGGTTTACGGAAAAGACAAAACTGCTGTCTGCCAAAGATACCACTTAATAAAAAGATTGGGAGTATGTAAAGATAATAATTAATCTTTTATTCGCACGATAAAAGATTCCATTTACAGATAGAATTTTCGCAGAATGAATTAGTGTCATTCAATAGAATAACAATTATACGGCTTTAAATAAATTAACGCTACCTCCGGTAAAAAGATAATTGAAGAATCATATTTCCAATTACTGGAACATTCTATGTTAGTCATAAGGAATATTTTGACCCGTATTATTGTTGGTAACTAAACAAACGAAAGAGTTAACTTCTATTGATTGATATTTTTTCAAACTAACTTGAACACCACGAAGGCTGGTTGGTTCAAGTTGTAGGGAGAGAGCTGTCAATGCAGTGGTGACATTTGCCATGAAAATTGCCATAGCTATGAGGCCAAATAAGATCCAGACGACAGAGAAAATACGAGCCATGGCCGACTTGGGTGCCTTGTCTCCATACCTTGCCAAATAAAAAGATACAAAATCAGCGATGATTTTATTTGCACTCGTAGGACGATGTCCTGGCTAGAAAACAAACCTATGGGGCTTAACCACGAAAGAGCATAAGACACACGGAGCAGTCTGCAATTGTACTATGACAGAGAACGAAACTACCACATTCTGACCGCTTAACAGCTTACCCTACAGTGGTCATAGAAATAAAGGACCACCAAAATCCATCCCATGAGCCTCTGATGAATGAACGTGGAAATTCTTCGCCATTCCAGTATGTATCCTGGTAAAACAAAAAAAGTTACGTATGAAGTTTTTCCTCTTTTTCCACTTTCATCTCTATGTAGTTATAAGAATGTCATTTCTACCTTTTTTCAAACATTGAGCACTGCAAATGATCATTTTATACCATCTGATTGTTAATGGAAGAGTAGGCAAGATTATATTCCGTTCTGTTGACTACCTTAAAGAGGAACATTAGAAGAGATCACGGCTGCTTAAAATACGATTTGGGATAAACTAAGAGCGCTTTGTCGGCAGCATCTGCTTTCATTTTTGTTAGTCTAAAAAACCCCTGAAGTTTCTTAACAGAGACTGACTTGTTAGGATAAATGGATATGTGTGAGCATTTTGATGTTGCGACCATGCATTCAAATTTATCTCGGAGGACAGCTGTAGTTGTGACCTTAATCTTACCAGTGCCCACATGATGATTCCAGCAATGGCCGTGAAGATCATGGTGACGGCAAGCAATGGCCAAGACTTCAATACAGAATCAAAAACGACATCAAGAGCGTCGTTTTCATCGTCAGCCAAAGTTACGTATTCCGTTCCAGGATAATCCACTAATTTGAAAAAGATAAATTCAGAGTACTTTTCACTGTTTTGTTGTTCGAATATAGGAACTGCTATATGAACTTTGTTTTGCTTCAGCAACTGTATCATGCCAGATTCACTATCAGCTTCGAGGGTCAATATTTCATAGTGCTTGTGAAATACTCCGCTACAATCCTCTTGTATGTATCTTAACATGGCATCTCGTACTATTCCATGAGCTTTATTGTCCAAGGAACTGTTATCGGGTCCTTTTATGTAGGGAGGCTTGTAAATCCAGGCAATGGTTAGGTTTTCCTTTTCATTACCATCATTATCATCGGGTTTGGATGAGCTTGATCTGGCTGAAGTCACTCGGAATTTGAAAGCAACGAGACCAATGAAAAGAGCCAACAATAACTTAAAGCAAGTCGCCATTAATGTTCTCTGCCAGTGAAATGAGTTAATAAATCCATCAGTCAATTAATCAACAACGCCAAACGAGCAAGTCAGTCAGTCTGTCAGTCAGTTACTCAGTCGGTTGGTCAACTCGTCAATCGGTCTGTCAGTTGGTCAGTTGCTCAGTCAGTCTGTCGGTTGGTCGGTCAAAGGTAAGTCTGTTGGTCAGTAGATCCTTTGGTTGGTCAGTCAGCCGGTCGATCCATCGGTCATTCAGTTGGTCAGTTCGAGGGCAGACACTCTGTCAGTCGGGGGTTAGTCCGTCAGTTGATCGGTAGGTCAGTCATTCAGTTGGTCAGTGGGTCAGTTTTTAAGGCAGATAGACAGTCAGTCAGTCAATCGATTTGGTGGTTGGTCAGTCAATCAGTCGGTCACGCAATCTGTCAGTCAGTCTTTCAGTCAATTGGTTTGTCAGTCAGTAAGTCAGTCAATCTGCTAATCGTAACATAGATTTATTCTTGATAAAAAGGAAAGAAGAAGAGGATTTGGCGGCAACCTTATTTCGCAAAATTTACTTGCATTATTCCTTATCAAAAGATACTTGCATAATTTCTCTTTATGTAGATAATGTATAATTTCTCTTCAAATATATAATTGCAAAATTACTTAAAATGCGTCATAACTTCTCTATGAAAAGATGCTTCCATAATTCCTCTTTATAAAGATACTTGCACAATTTCTCCAGGAAAAGATAATTGCATAATTCCTCTTAATAAAGATACTTACATAATTACTCTTTGAACAGATGCTTGTATAATTTCACTTGGAATTGATAATTCAAGCCATTCGATCAGTGTTAACAAGAAAAGAGATACTGCTTAATTTGTCTAATGGAAAGAAAAGTTTATTTAGATTGATACCATGATATTGGATCTAGAGAGGTTTTTTTCGATTTATTTAGTTCGTATTTGTGAGTGAGGCGTTGTTAAACTTGTACACAGCGAGACAAACGGCTTTATCTGAATACACCGATTGTAATACCTTAAAAATTTTTCACCTCCTTTTTGACAAAGTATTAAATCGAACACTTTTTAAGATAAGGCAATCATTTCCTATTTTTGTGTCGCAAATTTTATAAAATTCATTTTATAAGTTTCGTCGTAGTTTTGAATGCGAGTTATCAAAAAAAGCTGGTGTCATCGTTTAAAAGCTTGATTGACATGCTCAACGTGTCTTTCTGAAATCGTTTGAAAGACAATTTTCTGTTTGAATGTTAGAGTAAATTACCTTGGCTGACGAAATCTTTGGAATATGAAAGTTACCACAGCTCTTGTTTCGTCGATATTAAATATTGAAAGTTTCATATTGAAAAGGCTCATTGAGACAAAGGCAGTTTTTCAACTAATTTGCATTTTGGACAAATTAGTTAGGGCAGCTTTAACACAAGAAATAAGAAAAGAAAAATATAAGCAAATTGAAATCATTTTTGTGAACGTGCTCGGTGCATGACTTTTTTTACTCTAAACTTTAAACGTTTTTCAAACCTGTTAGCTATTGAATTGTTCAACTGTCTCAATGAATTTCGTGACAATCATCTTCGCTTCCTTCGTTTTAACAGCTATCACAGAACATGTAAAACTACATATAAAATATTCATTCTATCTACTTCTGTGAAACAGGCGAATCAGAAAATTTTGCAAAAAGTTAAGGTTTGAGTGAGGTTGCTGTACAGTAAATCCATACCTTTTCGAAAATGACTAGAATCCTTATGGATCGTGTCCAATGATACACCAGAATATTTAATTAATGGAACCTATGCAGTTAAATTTAAATACATTTTGCAGATGTGCAGATTTTAAAAATGACCTGTTTTACTGTTCTTCTATTCCAAGACACAGGCTCTCGAGCTACATGCTGCTATTCATTGCATGGAGTAAGCAACACGGGGTCTCTTTACATGTGCTGTTTTACTTCGAAAACAAGGCATTTTCAGCACACTAATTATCCAACTATGGAAGACCAATTGGCAGGCCTGCAGGTCACGAATTACGAAAATAATAATAATGGAAAGTCCATCTAGGCACATGCTGGTGTTAATGATGAACTTTCCAAATTAATTTCGCTCGTAGTCACTGCCATGGTAAACAAATTGTTGTCACTCGGCAAGGCTTATCATTCTTTGAGAAAGAGTGGAATTATATTGCGAGAAAGAAATAAAGCAACACAGAAAAAAAGCAAAACAAAGAAACTGAAAAAATCAAAACAGGACAAAAACAAGAGATAGGAAATTTTGTATTAGTTCTAAAAATTATTAGCATTTAATTCATATTCGGTTTTATGAGTTTGAGCATACATTTGTGTGTATTTATGTGTACATAAATACGTTCGTATTTTACGTATTTTCCATCCTGTTAAGCAAGGAGTAATAGATAAACGCAGTTGTTTGCGTGCAGGCCACCCTCGCCATCAAAGGATAGTACCCTAGTGTGTTATTAATTTCGCTAAGTCACCTCTGCGGTCGAATTGGCCTCCGGTTAAAATAATTAACCATACTCTGTTCGCAAGGCCTTATGGTAGTCTCGCTGCTGCCGCCGGATACACGCAGCTGGACTACCTGAACTATTGAACCAATCAAACGACAAAATTCAATGCATGTTAACTGAGTAAGAACCTAACAAAGACTTCGTTGTTATCTATTGAACTGATAATGAGAGACAACGATGAAATAATAGGCTATTTTAAGTTTTTTAATCTGCAAAAAGGGGCTGAAAAACGTAACGAAGGAAAAGGCTAAATTTTGGACCAATACAACAATTTGAAAACTTCAAAGAGATCGATAATTAGCATTCGTTAAGTTCGTATCTGTAAGCTTAAGTAAGAATAGATAACTTCACCCCAGGGCAAAATGTCAAGATGTGAATTGGCACATATAATAAGGAATCATTCAAAAAAAGTTGAGCTAGAAGCTGGAGAAGAGTCAAGAAAAATTTAGTCAGCAAGTGACGAAATCATACACGGTAGCTATTTTCCAGTACGATTGCTTTAACATACAAGCACACTTCTTTTCAGCAACTTCCATCAAGTTGCGATAGATAGGTAGATAATGCTGTCCTAACCTTAACCTCTAACAGAGATGTTGAATATTATCTGCCTTTGGAGTGAAATCAGTACATACATAGGTATGCAATCGAGATATATTTTGAACCTGTACGCGTGTTGCATGGTTCATAACTTGCAAATCCCACTGAACGCACCGTTTACTGGTTATCCCGAATTTTTGAAACCTTTGATTCCAGTGTTGTAAAGTGATCTTGCATTTGTTTAAGAAGTCTTTTGGCTACTTCAAAGTCGTTGAGAATACTTTCTCTCTCGGTTAACGCCATTCCTTTGTTTTCAGCTTCTGTTAAATGAAAGAAGTTTTACTATTTCATAATGCCACATAACCACATCAATGGAGAAGGCCCGCCGTTGGAATCGAACTGAATACAATGTTGAATAGAAAAAAAACATGCAAAAATGCGAAAAAATAATTAGATAAATTTGTGGATGACGTGAATGAATCGAATAAATGGATGGATGGATGGATGGATGGATGGATGGATATAAGGATGAATGAGTAGATTGATGAAGGGATGGCTGATTGAAAAAGTGAATAATTGTATAAATGACTGAATCACTTAATCCGTAATGACTGATGTGGGGTTGAATGGATAGATTCGTAAACTTAAGTAAAATAAAAAGACCGATGGATAAATGGATAGATGAATGAATTACAGGCAGACGATACTATTCACAACACGATGAACAAATGGACACCGTCAAAAGAAAACAAGCTTACGCCACTCTATCATGGAATTTTGCTGCTTGCCAGACTTCTTCCTGATGAGTAAGTCCCATATTACTCCAATACAAAGCATTCCCGCCAATACTCCAAGCAAAATGTACAGGAGTATTTTAACAAAGCTGGAAGAATCGTCAAACAAACTGAATTGTTTGGCTGGATTACTTTTGGTGGACTGTCAAAAAAGAAAACATTCATGATTATCTTATAAATAGATCAATTAATCATGACTCAAATCGTGCCAATCATTTCATGGGACTAAGGCAAGCGATGACAAGAAAGAAGTCATAAGGAATTAATTTCTCCTCTCCTGCATTCGAATTGGTTACTTTTGTCTAAGTGACCCGGGTAACAGAAGTTGCTGACCCTGTTAAATGTTTTTCATGTTTCACGCACAATAGCTGATGAAGCAGAGATCTGAGCTTGCTGTTCAAATAATTCTCCCAACTTAAAGCTGTACCTTATATGTTGCAGTGATGGTTTGAGCCGACCTCAAAATGGTGGAACGCTGATAATTTAAGCAATCTGCCAGGTATTTTCTGTCCTTTGAAAAGAGAACCCCGACATCTCTTTGAAGTTCCAATTTCTTGACGGTGAGAAGCGTTTTCAGTTTTTCTCTTGAGTGGTAAAAGGTGTTTGCGTAGTTATCTATGAATAATCCATCGACTTTCTGAGACTGCACATCTTTAACAGCGTCTTCGATACTGTTGTGCACTAGATACAGTATGAAAAAAAAACAACAAAGTATTAACACGGCAGACAGAATGCCGACCCTCGTACAATGAAGAGACTGGCATGAATTTAAAAGAAAGAGTGATGAGAAATTAAATAGTGTCATCAACAATCACCTAGTGTAGCGAACTACATCAATAATTGAGATTTCCCGCAACTTTTAACTTACAGCACCAACTACTTTCAACGAATGACTCTGAAAAGCTGGTGTGCTAATTAAGAAAAGACTCCTCAAAAATGTCAACAACCACTTTCAACATACCCAAGAATTTAATTAGTTCATTTAAAAACGAACCGAGCAGAACGACCTGACGTACCAGTCGGTTTATTACACCCAACTGACGTACAAGACTGTAGCTGTTGACTTTTGAATAGGTTGTTGAGACGTCGTTCTTGAGGCTAACGGCTCACAAGGAAAACCAGTTGACTATAATTCTTAAATTAAAGCAATTAATTGTAGCAAATGGATTGATTGAATATGAGGGTGCATACTCCGTCGACGTATCCGAGACATTTTAACCTTTTCGTGTCCAGGGCTGATGGGCCATGCTTGTAACGAGTTGCTTATTCAATTGGTAAAGCTTACACTCTGGTTTTAGAACAACTAATTGCATCCAGTGGTTATGGAATTGTACATATATACCTATTGGTTCAGCCTCCTCCTGTAGTGCATGTTGGTACTCTGTCCCATTTCCTATAACTGCAACCTGATGAAAAATTTTTTTTATCAGACATATTATAGTTTTCTACAACACAGTTGTATAATTATAATAATAACTTTTTAGATCGTTTTTAAAAAGGACATGACGACAACGAAAAAGAAAAAGAGGACGCAAGAGAAGAATAAGAGGAATAACGGCAAGAACAGGAATGAAATTTAACCAAGAAAAAGAACAGAAATAGGAAAGTCACAACATCGTTACGCGTGTCTTCACATGTAATGATGACATTTTCTTGGTGATCTGCAATCTGTTCGGGAATGCATGGTGTACGTTGCACGGCGTTAGCCTCTTGCATCGCTAATTCATCCATAACAAGCCACATTTTTTTTCATCGTTTAGCAATCTATTAGCCTCACTTTCATATTAGCAAAGCTACTTGGTTCGGTTTCCAGGGAAAGAGCCGTCAGGGCTGAAGTGACGTTCGCTGTAAAGATTGCCATAACAATCAGGCCCACGAGAATCCAAACAATAGAGAATATCCGTGCAGGAAGAGATTTGGGAGATTTGTCACCATACCTGAGACGAAAGAGATCATTATCACCTTAAACTGCTTGCACACTGATCATGATAGAACATCCAAAATTAGATGGCTGGACTATGCTGAATTGGCTCGAAATAAACATTGGACATCAACGAGGGAGGCTTTTCTGGTCCACTGTTTTGAGGTCCAATTACAATTTGTAGTGTCCATAAATTAAATTAAAATCTCCAAAATTCATTAGGTGTTTGACAACATTTTTTGCAAAGCTAGTTATGTAACTAAAGAGGTTTACCCTACTGTGGTCATCGAAATAAAAGACCACCAAAATCCATCCCATGAGCCTTTGATGAATGAACGTGGAAACTCTTCACTATTCCAGTAAGTGTCCTGAAAAAAGTGAAGAAACAATTCTTAGTAAACAAGAAGAAGGTTTTATATTATTAATGAATAAATAAATACGATCAAATTTCTCAATGTGTATCCCCAAACGGTTGCTTACCCGCTACAAGATGTGCCGGTCGCTGTTGTTGATAAAGAGGTAGGAAGTGAATGATTTCAAAATATATCTTTTTTGCCGTGACACTTCCTAACCGTCTCTAAAGGACACAAAATAGTGCTCCTAAGATCAAATAATCCAAACTCAAATGCTTACTCCATACTCCACACTTTCGACAATGTTTTTCTTAGTGTAGCATTTTAGTTCTTAACTACACGAAGAACGCTTGTCACATTTTATAGTTATGAACCGGGTATAGTTATTAATATTTATAATTATGAACTGCGCAGGTGGCCTAGCTCCCCGACGAGTACCCTCTAGTTAAGTCAGACAGTGTGTGGTTGACTTATTTTTGTCCTTCAATCATGATAATTGTTTCCCACCTTTCGCAGATAAAATGGGTCGTTGACGTTGAAAGATCACATAAATTATTTTGCAAAGGTTTCAATTTATTAAACAGTAAAAAAGTAGTGCATATAGTTAGGAAATACCCTTTGGCCGCTAGAGAATGTTACGTTACACAAACTCAAACTTACTAAAGCCCACATAACAACTCCTGAAATGGCAGTCAGGACCAGAGTAACAGCTAGCAGTGGCCAAGACTTCAGAACGGCATCCAAAACATAGCTGATCTTGTTGTTCCCTTCTTCAGTGGTAATGTAGTCTGTTCCTGGATAATCAACAACTTTGAAAAATGGGAACTCGCTGTAGTGTCTGTCCCCTTTTGGCTCAAATATAGGAGCTGCAATGTGGACTTTGTTTTGCCTCAGAAGTGCGATCATTTCATATTCACTGTTAACTTGGCGGTCTTCTACTTGGTATTCGATGCCATGAAGAATACCGCAGTCAAACGTCATGTATCGTAAAAGCGTATCTCGGATCAGTCCCTGAGCCCCGCTGTCTATAGATCCATTGGTGGGTCGAGCGACATACGGTGGTTTGGCAATCCAAGTTATTGTTAGATTTAGGTACCATTCGATCTTCCATTCGTCTTCCTCTGTAGAAGAGTTATCATTGGCTGACACAGTGATGAAATTTGCAACAACAGCTCCGATGAAGACAGCTGAAAACACCTTAATCCACTCTTTCATTATCACCCTGATTAAAAAGACAATTGTTTTCGTTGCATTATCGAAATATTTTAGGGACGATTTTAGTCCGAATTTGAATCAAGCTTTCCAGGGAATGGTTGTATTAAACCTTCATATTTTTTTATCATCTCGAATCTAGTTAAAAGGGAATTGATAATCGTTGAAATTATTAGAGAGTTTAAGTGGCCCGCTGCGAGAAGTTCTTTACTCTTCATCGGCTTTCTAAGATGAAAATTAAAAGAAGATATCTCGACAAAAACAATTGTTCTGAGAGAGCATAATGACGCATAAATTCAGTAGGTAAAATACGTGTCTTGAGCACAACATTCACCAAGCAAAGTAAAACTGTAAATGTCACTGGCATATGACTGTGTGCGTTGATCGAGAAGAAAAAAGAAAAAAAAAGGAATGATGACGAGAAAATTGTCGAAGTCAGTCAAATGCTGCAATAGTCGATCAAATTCGTACCGGGCGTACTTAACGTGTAAACTTACCCAAAATTAGAGCTGAGTACTATTTTCAGAGTTAGAGTACGTCAAAGTTACTTCTTTAACTGCTTCGTAGTGTGGACGTTGTCTATGTAATGCATTTGATCTGTGAAATACGGCTAGGCCATCACGAACAAATGAATGTAACTGCAATCAACGCTACTGGAGTATAATCTTAACAACTAAAACGAAGAACCCACACGTTAATTAAACATGAGAACCACCTGTCGTTAATTTGTACCTCGACTGAGAAACAAAGCACAGAATGCGTTAAGTTGCCACACGACCATCCTTATACCGTCAAATTGTTCAATTCAAACTGTATCTTGATTTCGATTGGCTGACACTTTGGTAGAAACTTTCATTTTCTCGCCTTTTAATACCTAAGTTAAATTTTGAATTAATTTTAAATTATCAATGCACTTCTTTGCTCTCTAAAGAAGCCTCAGAAAAGATCCCATTATAATGGCAGGATCAGATAAACAGCCCCAGGACACAGATTTATTTGACTCACTGTATTGATGGTATCCAGTTGTCATCAACTGGCAAAAGTAATAATATTTACCCTAACGCATAATAACGGCAATATGGTTATTTCTATATTTCATAGGTTTACTATTTTCACTTAGAAAAGTTGATAATTAGTAGATGTCGAGATAAAATGAAGCAAGAACTGGCATGGATTCTAAGTAAAAAATTTAAGTCTTATCAATTCGGATAGTCAGTAGTTATTGGGGGACATTCTAACTATTCTTGGCCATCGATGCATTTTATTTAAAAACGCCACTTAGTTAAAAATTCACGCCCTAAGGGTAGTTAAATATCACATTAACATGTATTTGTATAAGGAAAGCAGTGTGTCTAATGAGTCCTCTGAATTCCTAAACAATATACATTGATCTGTTGTGGAAAGGTTTCTTCTTTAAAAGCGTCCAGTTTACACGATGAACTCCAAAGGCTAAATTTCAAGTTTTATATTATTTTGACTGGAGAAAAAAAATTTCGATTTCTTTCACGAGAAGCCAATTAAAATGCAAATTTTGATGCATTCTGCCCTTAGCACATTAATGGGAAAAATACTTTATTATACTGAACAGACTTTGGCAAGTTAATTATGAGAAAGCTGGATATGAAGTCATCATCATTTAAGTCACATTTTATTTTCCTTAAAATAAAAAAAAGACCCATCTTTTCAAGGAAGAATCAACACAAAATTAAAAACGACTTTGGTGAGAACTTAGCAAATATAGTCATCATTTATCAGCTTAATATCTCTTTTTTCGTTACGTTCCTGATGGAAGTTTTAATGTCGATTTACTTCACATGTATTTGCAAATGGTAACACTAAAAATCTAAATAGCATGCACTAGTACCGTAAGCAACTCTGGTTACTTTAAGAAAGATGGGGATATCAACCTTTATCATTAAAAGAACAAACGTTTGACAAATTTACGGAATATTTTGACCAGTATTATTATTGGTAATTAAAAAAACGAGAGAGTTAACTCTCATTGAGTGATATTTTTTCAAAGTAACTTGAACACCACGAGGGCTGGTTGGTTCAAGTTGCACAGAGAGAGCTGTCAATGCAGTAGTGACGTATGCCATGAAAATTGCCATAGCTATGAGGCCAAATAAGATCCAGACGACAGAGAAAATACGAGCCATAGCCGACTTGGGTGCCTTGTCTCCATACCTTGCCGATAAAAAAGGTACGAAATGAAAGAGGTATTGGTGATGATTTTATCTGCACTCGCAGGACGCTGTCCTGGGAAACAAACCTATGGGGCTTAATCACGAAAGAGCATAAGACACATGGACGACTCGTGGACGACAAAGAAATTACCACATTCTGACAACTTAACAGCTCACCCTACTGTGGTCAGCTTACCCTACAGTGGTCAGCTTACCCTACAGTGGTCATAGAAATAAAGGACCACCAAAATCCATCCCATGAGCCTCTGATGAATGAACGTGGAAATTCTTCGCCATTCCAGTATGTATCCTGGTAGAACAAAAAAATTACATATGAAGTTTTTTCTCTTGTTCCCGGTCTCATCCCCTTGTAATCATAAAAATGTCATTCCTATTATTTCTTAACTTTGAGAATTGCAAATAATCGTTTTACACAATCTGATTGTTAATGGGTGGGGGGGGGAGGGGTAGGCAAGATTACATTCCGTTCTGTTGACCAGCTTAAAGCGGTATATTGGGTGAGATCACAGCTGCTTAAAATACGGCTTTGGTATCAACTTAAAGCACCTTGTCGGCAGCATCTGCTTTCATTTTGTCGGTTCAAAAAACCCTTGAAATTTCTAAAAGAGACTGACCTGTAAGGATAAATGGATATGTGCGAGCATTTTAATTTTGCAACCATGCATTCAAATTTATCTCAGAGGACAGCTGTACTTATGACCTTAATCTTACCAGTGCCCACATGATGATTCCAGCAATGGCCGTGAAGATCATGGTCATGGTGACAGCAAGCAATGGCCAAGACTTCGATACAGAATCGAAAACGACATCAAGAGCGTCGTTTTCATCGTCGGCCAAAGCTATGTATTCCGTACCAGGATAATCCAGTAATTTGAAAAAGATAAATTCAGAGAACTTTTGACTTTTTTGTTGTTCGAATATAAGAATTGCTATATGGACTTTGTTTTGCTTCAGCATTTGTATCATGCCAGATTCACTTTCAGCTCTGAGGTTCGTTATTTCATAGCGATCGGCGCTGCAATCCCATCATAGGTATCTTAAAATGGCATCTCGTACTATTCCATGAGCTTGATTGTCCAAGGAACTGTTATCGGGTCCTCTTATGTAGGGAGGCTTGTAAATCCAGGCAATGGTTAGGTTTTCCTTTTCATTATCATCATTATCATCGAATTCGGATGAGCTTGATTTGGCTGAAGTCACTCGGAATTTAAAAGCAACGAGACCAATGAAAAGAGCCAACAACAACTTAAACCAAGTCGCCATTATTGTTATCTGCCAGTGCAATGAGATAATAAATCCATCAGTCAATTAATCAACAACGCCAAACGAGCAAGTCGGTCAGTCTGTCAGTCAGTCACTCAGTCGGTCAGTGGGTCAGTGTTTATGGGTGATAGACAGTCAGTCAGTCAGTCAATCTGTCGGTTGGTCAGTCAGTCAGTCGATCAGGCAGCCTGTCAGTCAGTCAGTCAGTCAACATTGACTTGCATTATTCCTAATAAAAAGATACTTGCATAATTTCTCTTTATATAGATACATGCATAATTTCTCTTCAAACAGATACTTGCAAAAATACTTTTTATAAAGATACATCATAAGATGAGATTTTCGTGGACATGCTCCGTGCATGAATTTTTTCTACTCTAACCTTTAAATGTTTTTCAAGTTATTCAACTGTCTCAATTAATTTCGCGACAATCGTCTTCGTGTCCTTCGTGCTTTCCCAAACGCTTCAGCATTATGTAAGGGGTAACTCTCACTTTGTTGGCCTGTTTATGCTTTCTAAACAATAATGGTTCCAAGACACAGGCTCTCGAGCCACGCGCTGCTATTCATTGCATGGAGTAAGCAACACTGGGTTTCATTATATGTGTTCTTTGACTTCGAAAACAAGGCATTTTCTGCACACTAATTATCCAATTATGGAAGACCAATTGGCAGGTCAAGAAAATCATAATAATGGAAAGTCCATCTAGGAAACATATTGGTATTAATGATGAACTTCCCAACTTAACTTCGCTAGTAGTCACTGCCATGGTTAACAAAATGTTGTCACTCGGCCAGGCTTATCATTCTTTGAGAAAGTGTGGAATTATATTGCGAGAAAGAAATAAAGCAACACAGAAAAAAAAGCAAAACAAACAAACTGAAAAAATCAAAAAGGACAAAAACAAGAAGTAGGAAAGCTTGTATTAGAACTAAAAATCATTAGCATTTAATTCATTTTCGGTTTTATGATTTTGAACATATATTTATTTGTTTTGTCTTTCTTCTTTCACTAAGTGTTATGTGTACATAAATACATTCGTATTTTACGTATTTTCCATTCTATTGTGCAAGGAGTAATAGATAAACGCGGTTGCTTGCGTGCAGGCCACCCTCGCCATCAACGGATAGTAGCCTAGTGTGTTTTTAATCTCGCTAAGTCACCTCTGCGGTCGAATTGGCCTCCAGTTAAAATAATCAACCGTTTACTGTTCGCAAGGCCTTATGGTAGTCTCGCTCCTGCCGCTGGATGCACGCAGCTGGACTTCCTGAGCTATTGAACTACTCAAACGACAAAATACAATGCATTTTAACTAAGTAAGAACTTAACAGACTTTTGTTGTTATCTATTGAACTGATTATGAGAGACAATGATGAAATAATTTGCTAAGTAAAGTTTTTTAATCTGCAAAAAGGGGCTGAAAACCTTATAGAAAAAAAGGCTAAGTTTTGGGCTAATACAAGAATTTGAAAACTTCAAAGAGATCGATGATCTGCATTCGTTAAGTTCGTAAGTACAGTGGAAGTAATAAGCTACCTGTAAGTTTACGTAAGAATAGATAACTTTACCCCAAGCCAAAATGTCAAGATGCAGATTGGCAGATATAATAAGGAGTAATTAAACAAAATTAAGATAGAAGCTGGAGAAGAAAAAATTCAGTTTACGCATGACGAAATCATACACGGACGCTATTTTCCAGTACGATTGCTTTAACATACAAGCACACTTCTTTTCAGAAATTTCCATCAAGTTGTGATAGATAAGTAGATGATGCTGTTCTAGCCTTGTCCTCTTACATAGATGTTGAATATTGCCTGCCTTTGGAGTGAAATCAGTACATACATAGATATGCAATCAAGATTTTTTTTAACCTGTACACGTGTTGTATGGTTTATAACTTGCAAAATCCACTGAACGCACCGTTTACTGGCTACCCCGAAGTTTTGAAACCTTTGATTCCAGTATTGTAAAGTGATCTTGCATTTGTTTAAGAAGTCTTTTGGCTGCTTCAAAGTCGTTGAGAATACTTTCTCTCTCAGTTAACACCATCCCTTTGTTTTCAGCTTCTGTTAATTGAATGAAATTGATTATTTCATAATGCCACTTAACCACATCAATGGATAAGGCCCGCCGTTGAAATCAAACTGACGACAATGTTAAATAGAAAAAAAAACATGCAATAATGAAAAAAAGAAGATAAATTTGCGGATGAAGCGAATGAATTAAATGGATGGATGGATGGATGGATGGATGGATGGACAGAAGGATGAATGAGTAGATTGATGAAGTGATGGCTGGTAGAAAAAGTAAATAATTGTATAAATGAGTAAATCACTTAATCCGTAATGATTGATATGGGGTTGAATGGATATATTCAGGAACTTAAGTGAAATGAAAAGACCGATGGATAAATGGATAGATGAATGAATTACAGGCAGACGATACTATTCACAACACGATGAACAAATGGACACCTTCAAAAGAAAACAAGCTTACGCCACTCTATCGTGGAATTTTGCTGCTTGCCAGACTTCTTCCTGATAAGTAAGTCCCATATTACTCCAATACAAAGCATTCCCGCCAATACTCCAAGCAAAATGTACAGGAGTATTTTAACAAAGCTGGAAGAATCGTCAAACAAACTGAATTGCTTGGCTGGATTACTTTTGGTGGACTGTCAAAAAAGAAAGCATTCATGATTATCTTATAAATAGATCAATTAATCATGACTCAAGTCGTGCCAATCATTTCATGGGACTAAGGCAAGCGATGACAAGAAAGAGGTAATAAGGAACTAATTTCTGCTCTCTTGCATTCTAATTGGTTACTTTTTTATCCAGTGACCTGGGTAACAGAAGTTGCTGACCCTGTTAAATGTTTTTCATGTTTCACGCACAATAGCTGATAAAGCAGAGATCGGAGCTCGCTGTTCAAATAATTCTCCCAACTTAAAGCTGTACCTTATATGTTGCAGTGATGGTTTGAGCCGACCTCAAAATGGTGGAACGCTGATAATTTAAGCAATCTGCCAGGTATTTTCTGTCCTTTGAAAAGAGAACGCCGACATCTCTTTGAAGTTCCAATTTCTTGACGGTGAGAAGCGTTTTCAGTTTTTCTCTTGAGTGGTAAAAGGTGTTTGCGTAGTGATCTATGAATAATCCATCGACTTTCTTGGACTGCACATCTTTAATAGCGTCTTCGATACTGTTGCGCACTAGATACAGTATGAAAAAATATAAAATTATTAACACAACAGCCATACTGCCGACCGTTGTACACTGGAGAGTCTGGGCAGAACGACCTAACGTACCAGTCGGTTTATTACACCCAACTGACGTAAAAGGCTTTAGCTGATGACCTTTGCATAGATTGTTCAGACGTCGTTCTTAAGGCTAACGGCTTACAAGGAAGATCAGTAGACTCTAATTCCTAAATTAGGCAATTAATTGTAGCAAATGGATTGATTGAATATGACGGTGCATACTCCATCGAAGTATCCAAGACATGAAACCCTTGTCATGTCCGTGGTTGATGGGCCATGCTTTGTAACGGGTTGTTTATACAATTGGTTTTGTTTACACTCTGGTTTTAGAACCACTAATAGCACCCAGTGCTTATAGGATTGTACATATATACCTATTGGTTCAGCCCCCTCCTGTAGTGCATGTTGGTACTCTGTCCCATTTCCTATAACTGCAACCTAATGAAAAGTTTTTTTTCTTTTTATCAGACATAGTATAGTTTTCTACAACACAGTTGCATAATTATAATGATAACTTTTTGGAACGTTTTTAAAGAGGACGCAGGAGAAGAATAAGAGGAATAAGAGCAAGAACAGAACAGGGTTGAGAATTACCCAAGAACAAGAAAAGGAAGAGGAAACTCAAAACATCGTTAGACGTGTCTTCACATGTGATGACACTTTTTTGGTGATCTGCAATCTGCTCGGGAATGCATGGTGTACTTTGCACAGCGCCAGCCTTTTGTATCGCTGATTCATCCATAATATGCCACGTTTTTTTTCTTTCATCGTTTAGCAATCTATTAGCCTCACTTTCTTATTAGCAAAGCTACTTGGTTCGGTTTCCAGGGAAAGAGCCGTTAGGGCTGAAGTGACGTTCGCTGTAAAGATTGCCATAACAATCAGGCCCACGAGAATCCAAACAATGGAGAATATCCGTGCAGGAAGAGATTTGGGAGATTTGTCACCATACCTGAGACGAAATAGATCATTATCACCTTAAATCTGCTTGCACACTGATCATGAGAGAACATCCAAAATTAGATGGCTGGACTATGCTGAATCGGCTCGAAATAAACATTGGACATCAACGAGGGAGGCTTCTATGGTCCACTGTTTTGGGGTCGAATTACAATTTGTCGTGTCCACAAATTTAAATTAAATCATAAAAATTCATTCGGTTTTTGACAATATTTTTCGCATGGCTAGTTAGGTAACTAAAGAGATTTACCCTACTGTGGTCATCGAAATAAAAGACCACCAAAATCCGTCCCATGAGCCTTTGATGAATGAACGTGGAAATTCTTCACTGTTCCAGTACGTGTCCTGAAAAAAGTGAAGAAACATTCATGAATAAACTAAAAGATACATGTTATATTATTAATGAATAAATAAATACGACCACATTTGTCAATGTGTATCCCCAATACAAACGGCTGCCTCTCCTCTGAAAGATGTGTCGGTCACTGTTGTTGATAACGAGGCAGGAAGTGAATGATTTCAAAATATATTTTTTTTGCCGTGACACTTCCTAACCGTCTCTTAAGGACACAAAATAGTGGTCTTACGATCAAATAATCCAAGCTCAAATGCTTACTCGACACTCCACACTTTCGACCATGTTTTTCTTAGTGCAGCATTTTAATTCTTAATTATACGAAGAACGCTTGTCACACTTTATAGCTATCATGGGATTAGTTATAGTTATTAATGTTTATAGTAATGAACAGCGCAGGTGGTCTAGCTCCCCGAGGAGTTCCCTGTAGCTAAGTCAGACAGTCTGTGGTTGATGCATTTTTGTCCTTTGATCGTAATAATTGTTTCCCATCTTTCTCAGATAAAATGGGTTGTTGATGTTGAAAGATCACGTAAATCATTTTGCAAAGGTTTAAATTTATTTAACAGTTAGTAGTGCATATAGTTAGAAAATGCCCTTTAGGCGCTAAAGACTGTTTGGTAACACAAACTCAAAACTTACCAAAGCCCACATAACAACTCCTGAAATGGCTGTCAGGACCAGAGTGACAGCTAGCAGTGGCCAAGACTTCAGAACGGCATCCAAAACATAGCTGATCTTGTTGTTCCCTTCTTCAGTGGTAATGTAGTCTGTTCCTGGATAATCAACAACTTTGAAAAAGGGGAACTCGCTGTAGTGTCTGTCCCCTTTTGACTCAAATATAGGAGCTGCAACGTGGACTTTGTTTTGCCTCAGAAGTGCGATCATTTCATATTCACTGTTAACTTGCCGGTCTTCCACTTGGTATTTGATACGATTAACGAAACCGCATTCATACGTCATGTATCGTAAAAGTGTATCTCGGATCAGTCCCTGACCGCCGCTATCTATAGATCCATTGGTGGGTCGAGCGACATACGGTGGTTTGGCAATCCAAGTTATTGTTAGATTTAGGTACCATTCGATCTTCCATTCGTCTTCCTCTGTAGAAGAGTTATCATTGGCTGACACAGTAATGAAATTTGCAACGACAGCTCCGATGAAGACAGCCTAAAAACACCTTAATCCAATCTTTCATTATCACCCTGATTGAAAAGAAAATTGTTTTCGTTGCATTATCGAAATATTTTATGGACAATTTAGTCTGAAATAGAAGCAAGCTTTCCAGGGAATGGTTGTATTAAACCTTCATAGTTTTTTATATTCTCGAATCTAGCAAAAAAAAAGTGAATTGATAATCGTTAAAATTATTAGAGAGTTTAAGTGGCCCGCCTCGAGAAGTTCTTTACCCTTCATCAGCTTTTTAAGATGAAAACTTAAAGAAGACAATTCGACAAAAACAATTGTTCTGAGAGAGCATAATGACGCATAAATTCAGTAAGTAAAATGCCTGTCTTGAGCAAAACATTCACCAAGCAAAGTAAAACTTTAAATATCACTGGCATATGATTGTGCTAGTTGATCGAGAAGAAAAAAGAAAAAGAAAGTATGATGACGAGAAAATTGTCGAAGTCAGTCGAATGCCGCAAGAGTTGATCAAATTCATACCGGGCGTACTCAACGTGTAAACTTACCCAAAATTAAAGTTGACTACTATTTTCAGAGTTAGAGTACGTCAAAGTTACTCTTTTAACTGCTCCGTAGTGTGGACGTTGTCTATGTAACGCATTTGATCTATGAAATACCGCTAGGCCATCACGAACAAATGAATGTTACTGGAATCAACGCTACTGGATGTATAATCTTAACAACTAAAACGAAGAACCTACACATTAATTAAACATGAGAATTCGAACCACCTGTCGTTAATTTGTACCTCGACTGAGAAAAAAAGCACAGAATATGTTAGGTTGTCACACAACCATCGTTATACCGTCAAATTGTTCAATTCAAACTGTATCTTGATTTCGATTAACTGACACTTTGGTAGAAACTTTCGTTTTCTCGCCTTTTAATAACAAAGTTAAATTTTGAATTAATTTAAAATTATTAATGCGCTTCTTTCCTCTCTTTAGATGCCAGATATAATTTCCCATTATATTGGCAGGATCAGATAAACAGCCTCAAGACACAGATTTACTTGACTCACTGTATTGATGATATCCATGCTGTTGTCATCAACTGGCAAAAGTAATAATATTTAGCCTAACGCATAATAGGAATTCTGCAATATGGTTATTTATATATTTCGTAGGTTTATTATTCTCTCGTAGAAAAGTTGATAATTAGTAGATGTCGAGGTAAAATGAAGCAAGAACCGGCATGGATTCTAAGTAAAAAAATTTCAGTCATCAATTCGGAAGTTATTGGAGGAGATAGTTGATACTTAGTGAAAATTAAGACATTCTAACTATTCTTGGCCATCAATTTCTTTTATCGGAAATTGCCACTTAGTTAAAAATTCACACTATAAGGGTAGTTAAATATTCACACGTATGTGTATTTCTATAGGGAAAGCAGTGTGTCTAATGAGTCCTCTGAATTCCTAAACAACATACATTGATCTGTTGCGGAAAGGTTTCTTCTTTAAAAACGTTCAGTTTACAATGCACGATGAACTCCAAAGGCTAAATTTCAAATTTCATTTTATTTTGACTGGAGAAAAAAAAAATTCGATTTCTTTCACTAGAAGCCAATTAAAATGCAAATTTTGATGCACTCTTCCCTTAGCACATTACTGGGAAAAAATACTTCATTATAATAAGGAGACTTTGGCAAATTAATTATGAGAAAGGTGTATATGAAGTATCATTAATTTAGTCACATTTTATTTTCCTTACCATGAAAAAAAGACCTATATTTTCAAGGAAGAATCAACACAAAATGAAAACGACTTTAGTGAAAACTTAGCAAATATATTCATCATTTCTCACGGTTTACACAATGAAATTGATAAAGTAAAGATGCCTTGCCTTCCAAGGTCATAGTACCTTAACAAGAGAGGATTTCTTGATCTAACAAACCAAATACAAACGTATACTTGACTATATTACAAAATTCCTCATATTCTTGATTAGCAGCTATCTTATGTAGTTGTTTTATCAGGATCCTTGCGGGGTGGGGGTGAGTGAGCGATGGTCGTTGAATTATGTCAGCGGACTCTAAATGAAACTTTCGACGACAATACCTGCGTCGAACCCCCCCCCCCCTTTTTTTTCTCCTTAGCTGACTCAGGTTCAGAAGCTTCTTGTCATGATATGAGGAATTAAAGGAAAAATTCTCACACTGTAATAGACTTGCGGATATTAACTATGTTTAAAAAAATATATGTCATATGGAAATTCAGCAGCAGCAATTTTGAGACGCGGACGGCGACCAAAAGGATGATGCAATCAGGTCTAGTGTGCATTCATATCAAATGGCCCAGAGCAAAGGCTTCATCCTAGCATTTTGGAATGAACAGTGCGGATAGAAGGATCTGTATTAGGCGTCTGGGAAAAGCAGTCTCAACTTCCAGCTGATGTCTACGTCTCAAAAAATGTCTGAACTAGCGTTTTCTATACATGCATGTATCGACATACCGTATAATGAAGATGACAGTCTTACTCAAGCAATTTAGAAGTTTTTCCTTTTTCTTTTTTCTACGTTTGCTCTTTTTCCACACATATAGAAGATATAATTTTCTGACGAAGTATCCACCGTGTCACTTCTAACTAATCAAACTTTTTCCCACTAGAGCAGTAAGATATAAAATATTCACGTGAGTCCTTCACAAACTGTTGTAGATAAGTGTCTCGTGTAGTAATCCTAAAAGCAACTGATTAAATTCAAGAGATTATAATCTCTTACGAAGTTGTACTTTTTTCTAACAGCTTTAGACCTCCCTGCCTACAGGTTGCCAACCCCTTAACTGATTTCTTTTCTGACTTAAACACATTAGTTTCAGTTTTCTTAATGATTACTCAGGAATTGTCCTACCCTCGGCAGTTTTACCCGAATTAAAGAAACGTCGTTGAATAAAATACAAGAAATGTTACTAATATCTAAAGATAACCATTGAAATTGTAATAAAATAGAAAGAAAAGTCTGTTTAAACTGGCTGTCTGTCAAGAAAGATGACATTGCCAAACTCTAGTGCTAATAGTTAGTTATAATAAAGTGTTGTATCTTTCTTTTCCAGAAACGTAAAATGGCCTTTTCAAACATCAGCAGCCATTTTGGAGTTGACCTACTTAACTTGACGTACTACTCTTGATCTACTCCTCTGAGGACCTCTTAAAGCTGGTCATTCTTGGGGAGTAGTTCTGATCTGGGTCTTTTTTAACATAGCGTCCCTCAGACGGTACAAGAAGCTCATGCTTTTCATCTCCCTGTCCACCTTCTTCTATGTCTGCTTGGTCAGCGTTCTTCATTTCATCACGTGACAGGTGTCCAACTATACCAGCGCCGATTGCATCCCCAAGGACATTTACAACAGTACGGAAGCGATCCCTTGAAAAGCAAACAATGAAGATCAAGAAATGAAACTCCATTTGGATGAATGAATAAATGAAATTCTGAATGTATGAAAGAATGAATAGATGGATGAAGTATCGAATAAATAAATGAATGAAGGAATGAAGAAAAAAAACGGGAGCGCTTTCAAGACCCTTCATATAAATATATACTGGATAAGTTGAAATTATGGAGCCCCTTAAACATTGAGGACGAACAAGAATTATGCGTAGAGTAAAATGGAACTCATAGTTTAAAATACTCTAATAAACGCTGATATCTCTGGTCTTACATGAACCAGTCGACTGCCCAAAGAAGAGCAACATCACTGGTGGGGAGATTAGCAGACTGTAACACAATCAGCATGGTAACCAAGCCTGCAGACGGAATTGCTGCTGCACCAACCGCCGCAGCCATAGATGTCAATCTAAATGATGGAAAAAAATTGACAGAGATATAACTTATCAGCGCCCTTTTGCCTATTCGAAGCATTCATTTATCAAACAGAGACGAAACGCGAAACAAATGCATTAAAAATGAGAAAAAGATGAACGAAACGAGGCTAGATAGAGATGCTCTTCTCTTTTTTTCTTCCATTTTTCCCACTCGTACCATGACGTTTTTTCAAATAATTTTTAAAATGCCTGGAAGAGGCTTGCCGCATGAAACAAAGGAGAACAGATCCCACTGACACACTCATTAGCTATAGAATGCATACAATTAAGATTGATGTAGGGTAGTAGCCAACGTCAGCGCGGCATGGCCGGCTTTACGGGCCCTCTACTAAAGTAAAGGCGCTGGAGCGGCGAAAACGAACGCAGAGCTCCTTTATTTAGTTCCGCTCAGCTGCCGAGTACTTCAAAGAGCGAACAAAATTGCCAGATACGCGACCAAAGAGGGAAATAAGGTAGTCAGTTCTGATTTTTGAGGAGTTAAGCTATCATTTAACATACGGAATCTTCACTTTCAAATTTATGGCCGTGAACCAGCATGATGATTTACCAACTTAATAACGACATAATCTGTTCTTTGCAGACGACTACCATTTGGAAATCCACCTTAAATTGTTTTGCAAATGGATTTTGAATTTTAAATATTCCATCCGCAGTACTTCTTTATCAGTTCTGATGATCAGCAGTTAGGATCCAGTTAGTATTTACCGCCGGGATTGGGGAAGTTTGGAGGATTTTGGGGGATCACATGGTTTTCATGACACAACCGTGACACAGCGTTTCATGGCTATCGCTCAGACGAAGGGCCAACGTTCGAAACGTTAGCTTTGAAACTCTTCACGGTGGCCAATTTACATTATCAACTCATTTAATATCACTAAATTACCCTGCTATTCTTGACTGAAACAGAGTCCACTTTGGTTACACAAGAGTTTCTTAAATCAAGTTTTTTATGTAGAGCATTTTTTTACAGGCACCCAATACACATTTTGGTGAGAGAAGATGTTTCTTTAGCCTCAGAGAGGCAATGTACTTACATAATAGTAATAACCTGTCCTGCCCCAAGGCTGATTCCGTGAAGCTGCGCGATCCAGAGAGCACAAACGCCTTCGTACAACGCGGTTCCGTCCATATTAACGGTGGCACCCAAGGGTAGAACGAAGCGACTGATACGTTTGTCTACGTGATTGTTCTGCTCCACACATCTCATGGTGGTTGGCAAAGTGGCCGCGCTGAATTAAAGATGTGATAATTGGAAGTTTTTCAGAAAAGAAATAGGAAACGCCTCTTCTCGCACACATACAGTAATCTGTAATTTTGTTTGGAATACTGGCTTCAATTCACCTTCAGTAATACTGGGGATGAGGGTAGTTAACATGCCTATTTTCCTAAAACCGAGATTTAAGACAGGCTGTGCTCCCTTAACGACAACAGTCCAACGTCGGCAACTCTGATTCCAGGGTCTTTCCAATCAAAGTGATACCGACGACCTCCCCAACAAGATTTCTCTAAGTTCCGCCTTTCGGAAGCCGTAGACCTGCCCATCGAACCCGACTCAGCAATACATGGGGCAAGTGGTAACAGAAGGAATCATTTCAATCAGCTGAAAAGATTTCTGAGACGCCGCTTACAACAAACACGTATGACAATCTTGGTGTCGCTGGAATGGAAACGCACCCTATGTAATCGACCGATGCACAAGGGATTTACAACTTGCCCCTTAACACCCTGACATCAATATGCATATTCTCCATACCGTTTTATATACATTTTCTATGGTGCGTGTAAGGAGAATCTGTTTGAAAATCAAACACTTCTTCAGTCTGTGATCATCTGCTTTATTCTCCTGACCTAAATGTTTGATTCAGGGATGATCTTGTAAGAAGAAATTAGATGTTCGTCATGCATGGTTCGAAGGGTTAAGAGCCCTCCAAAAAACACAGAAATTATTATGACACCAACCTGGAATCTGTACCGTACGCTGTAAATATGGCATCCGACATATTTTTGATGTAAATAATCGGGTTTTTCCGCGTGAAGATCAAATAAACCAGCGGCAAAATTATAAAGCCGTGGCAGAGAAGACCAGCGATGGCGGTACCCATAAGATACCCCAGCGTTTTGAATGCCTGCCCAATATCATCCATGCCGGCCAGCTTAGCAGCTATCAAACTACATATTCCAATCGGAGAGAGCCTGGTGAAAAAAAGGTGACGATTAGCGTTGAAATTAAACAGCTTAAAAGGGGTGGTGTTCGATTTTTTGTTTTGGTCAAAATCCATCAAAAATTTTCAACCACCACGGATACCACTTATCACTTTCCTCAGCGAAATTCTGATGATGCTCATCATCCTTCTGGTTTACTGCTGTTGCTTTATGATTTTCAAGTTCTCGTGCAGCAATAAAAAATACAATTTTTTGGCCAGCCAATTTCCATTAGAATTTGACAAGCTTATTTATTTAATTCAATCAGAAGAAGAAACATCTTATCTTAATTTTAAGAAGTGTCAGGCCAAACTTAGTAGCATCTTTTGTACTCCTCGGAATTTGAATTCTCTCATGCCGTGTTCATCACTTCCTTGGTAACATGATGGACGAAACGCGAAGCGGCCATTTTGATAATCAGCAAACAATTATATTATTGAAGATCTAAAATCCCGATACCGGCTTTTGGACAATTCTTGCTGGCATATCCTTCCTCTCCTCTTTCCCAGGCCCTTAGTGATCTACAACCTAGCATAGTCTTCTTTATTTTCATTAATTGCGACTCATTACTTTAGTCATTGCGATGAATATCTTACCACATGACTAATGATACCATTTCCATGACGATTTCGTTCAGCGACTCAATGAAGGCTCTCATGGGCAATCCACGCTCTCCAACGCGCCCCAACACGATACCGAACACAATAGAAAATACCACCAACCCAAGGACGTTCATATTTCGGGAAGCAATTTCGAGTCCCGCGGGAACCATCGATGATCCCGGAGCTAGTTCCTCTTCCTTCAGAACTGTGTAATTGTGAGTCCCGTTCCTAATTGTCTCGTTGTATTCGTTAACAACGGGATCGACAGTCTTGTATTTGGTACGTTTCTGAAAATAAAGATTAACCACGAAAAAAAGAAAAGACTTGCTTAAAAAAATAAAGAAATCGAATTCAAACACACAAGTCCTGGGGGGTGGAACTCGCCATGTTCATTAGACTTTACAGACTTTACTTTACTTCAGGTCAAAGATGTACGAAAGGAAAGGGATTTCCTGAGTGAAGGTATAGAATAGCTTTTAACAGTCAATAGGAAGGGGTTACACAAGAAATAAAATGAGTAAAAGCTACTCTGTTAAAAATTGAACAAAAAAACCCAGAAACATTTTAACCAGCCTCCCTCTCTGGTAAGCCCCACTCTCTAATATGAGCCTCCCCCCTTCCATGTTTGGCTTCAAGTTTCTCCCTCTTCCTCCACCACCTCGAGAACGAAGACTATCTCGTTCTAAATTGGAGACACTGCGGAATTCAAACTAAAAACAAAAAAATGATTTTCGGTAGCTTTCCTAAGCAAATCTACGGAATGTTCCAGCGGTTGAGGACTAATTTAGAAACCACTAACCTGTATGAAAGCTGCCTCCACAAGGTTCACTGGAAAGCAGCTCCTGTAATGCAATAATAAGGAATCAGAAAAAAAATGAAGAGACAAAAGGCTCCTAGTCCAAGTTTTAAGATACTTTAGTTTCATTAAAGTTTATTATCGATAGCCTATCTTACGGAAGTCTGTTGTCCGAGACGTTTGCGTGAAGGCTGATCTCGATTTGAAGGTAGCCTTAATAATAATACGATGGTTTTCCGCAGGGAAATCAATGTTGTCAAGGAGACCTCCACAAAGAAGAGAATCGTTTTCCTTAGGCGAGGATGCTAGTGCGGCCGTTAAAAGTACACTTGGTGGAATCGACACATCCCAGACAACGCCGTGATCTTCCCTCTCTGCTCCCTGATTTCTTCCTTTCAAAATACGAAAGTATGCGAACAGTGAAGCTATCTAGCCCAGTGGCTTTATGAGACCGAATATTCTTAAGGTCATTGTCAATTATCATCTTTCAATGTTTGGCCGAATAAAATAGCTCTCTCTGGGTTTGGGTAAATTTGCTAATATATATCCCCTTGGTATCGAAAGAAAAAAACTTTCTTAAAGACACAAATTTCCTTCCTGAGATCACATCGATAAATTGTGAGTTATTTGCCCAGACAGTGTAAAAGTGTAGGCCGTTTGCTATTCAAAACGCAACCGATCGGGAATCTTAAGATAAACTTGACACCCTTAGTAACAGTAGATGACGGGCGTGACAGAAAAAAAAGACGGAAAAATGACAAAAAAGACGGAAATATACAAGAGAAAAAACTCGTGCCCGGCGAAATCAAGCCCCTTTTCTGACGCCGCCCTCATTACTGATATGGGAAAAGTGATTTGGTGATAATTTACATGCATGGTCAGTCAGGCACTAACAATCATTGTACGCAAACATGAATTGAAATTATTGAACTCCATCACAGTCCCTGCCAGCAGAACCCCCGGTGTTGTAAAATTAGAATAATAAAAAACTGTAGACAGATAAGCTTATTCATTAAATTTTCTCAGGGGTCGTTGACCGAAAGATGAAACGTACATTCATTTTCATTAGCCGTCATACTAAAGGTTGCTTAAAAGGCTTATCATTTTATATTACAATTACAATGCGTCGTAGAATAATATATGTATATATTTTTTTAATGTTTTATGTTTCATGTTTGCATTAATGTGTGGACCCAACTGTACAAACATTGTCATCTCTGTAAATATTCATGTGAGTTAAAAAAAATTTTACTTGACTTGACTTGAAAAGACCTCACGTTATGACGTCCATCTGAAGTGGAATATTCTTGAAACAGATGTAACATTGATGTCATGTTATTGTAGTCAACTGAATTTATGGCTGTCAACTAAGACAAATATATTTGCATTTTGTATCCCTTCAAAGTGGTGGATATTGTTTTTCAAGCCAAAAGGTTGTGTTAGTGATCTACCCTTTCATGGAATCTTAATGCACTGTCACGGAAATCATCAACGGAATCGATTATCGACGGAACTGAGCGAAAATAGTTTTAAAATGGAAACAAAAGTGCTTCAGACCTTTCTAGTATAACCAAGCGAAAGGAATAATTTGCATTTCTGCTCTTATTTACTTAAAAATATTGCTCCTGCGGCCAAGTTTCGCTAGCGAAAAGTTGACCGTGACACATAGTATGCATGGAATAACAAGGAATAACAGATTAATTTTGCACTGTCGCCATTTCCAACAGACTTGACAATTGTCATTAATATGACAAATATCAATCCATAATCAAAGCTCACCTCAAAAGATCGAGAAGCGAATCGAGACCACGATAAGGTCTCGAGAGCTCTTCGTCGGTTCCTTCAGGTTTGCTGCGTTCTCCCGGCCGTATAGAAAGGACCAAGACGATCCCAAGAAGCACAGCGATCAGCATAGTTCCCATGTAGTAAAGTACAGTTCGACGACCAATTCTTCCCGTGGCTTTGGAGTCCAGCGTGGCCAAGGCGGTGATCAAACTTGCAACAATCAGCGGCAGTATTAGCAACTTCAGCATGTTCATGAAGAGCTCACCCGGAAAACCAATCAACATGATAGTAGTAGCTTTCTTTTCTGGGTCTTTGATATCGTTCACACTCTTGTTTACCGATAAACCGATAATGAAGCCGACGAGCACTCCCAAAATAATGAGGACGAGAAGCAGTTCTTTGCGAATGTGGTGCAAGACTTTACCGCAGCAGGAACGCAAACGTTCGCTCTCACACCTGCCCATGATTTATCAACTTTCCTTTCCGGCCTTCACTGGACTTGGAATTGCTAAGATGAGTTCGCTACGATGTACAACCCAAGCTGTGGAAACTACACCAGATGGGATAAAATGTTTGTAAATAGTGTGATTGTTTGGCGTCTCGATTAGTCTCGCCTGGGTTGACAGGAGTTTTCTGTCAGCTGGGGGCGTGTTAAACAAAGCGTTTGAGGCGTCGGGTCAAGCGATTGCAATGTTTACGTACTCGGAACTGGACGCCATCCAGGGAATGTGGAGAGCGCTTAGGACTCTTCTCGAATTCTCTCCTTACAATTTCCAGTCTAATAAACAATTAATTTTGCGCAGTTGTTATGAAGACTGAGAGATTTCTTGCTTTTCGGTTTTGTCAAACTTTTGAACGTGAAATATGCGTACCGTATTTTAAATTTTTCACAAGCATTCCAATCGTGTTCATTTCACTAAACAATTTTGTGTCAGGATGGAAAAGAGAAAATTGTTCACGCTCAGGTTGCTCTGGGACCAAAGTGCTGCAACTTTATATGAATATTTTTCTTTTTTTTCGGCTTTCATGACATTTTTCTCAGCTTAGCCCGTAGCCAGTGGAGCCTTACTGGAACTCGCTGGAGATAACTTCGGGCCATCATTTCATGGAAGTTTCTAAGTGGAGGGACTGTGCTCAATACACATCTAACAATTTAGCACCTTATGGAAGCAAACACTGTAAATTGCGTCCACGCCTCAAGGGATGTTTGGCGTTCTCGACCCAACCGATGCCGGATTCATAAGTTACCATAGCTTCGCAATGCGTCAGACGGAGGGTCTGTCGCATCTGGGTCGACTTTTAGATCACGAAATTCGAGCTCGCGCGACGCGAGTCCTAAAGGCCTTAAGTTAGACTCGCAGAGTAAAATAGGATGGAACACGTACACACTTCATTTTGGCTTTCGAATTTGAACTTGCATTTTTTAATTTTTTTTGCATAGTTTCTAACTAACAAAAGGCCACCTTTTCACGGCTGGCTGATCACATCCTGTTATGATCATTGAAGACATATGTAAGCAATCTCCCAGGACTAGGATTTCTGTGGGCAAAGGGGATGAAACACCGAAAATGGTTTCACAAATGATTATTTGTCTTAAATAGAGAGAAGAGAGAGTTCATAATCTTTATTCCTAAAATAAAGCTTCTGGATCAAATATTCATTTACTTGTAAGACAATGAAAGCAATCACGCAAAAAAACCAAAAAAAAACAAAAAAAATCCTGAAAGTCATTTGAATTCTTGTCTGGGTAATTTGAATTGAACGCCATCTTCTTTCTAGAGGTAAAGCGCTATGTTGTTATTTCTAATATGATAATTACTGACAAACTTGTGTGTAGGTATGTCACGATTTGTTGTTGGGAATACTGATTACACTGTCAAAAATTCCTGCGAATTTGAGGATTTCACAAGAGATAAAACTCTTAACGCTTGTGAAGAATTAGTATCTTTCGACGTTGTTTCGCTCTTCACTAAAATCTCTGTTGATCTTGCCGTTAAGGTTGCGGAAGAGAGACTCAGAGAAGATGCTTCCCTGGGACAGAGAACTTCTTTGCCTGTGGAGGATATTATTCATCTGCTGTCTTTTTGCCTCAAAACCACGCAATTTACATATAACGGCACCTACAATCAACAAGTTTTCGGTACAGCGATGGGTTCGCCCGTCTCTGCTGTCATTGCTAACATGGTAATGGAACACGTGGAACAAAGGGCCTCAGCCACTTCACCGGTTAAACCCTTTTTCTGGAAACGATATGGTGATGATGTTATTTCTGCGGTATCCGGAAATGAAGCGGAGCGCCTCCTGTCGCATTTGAATTCGGTAGAGCCGTCGATCCAATTCACCCTTAAGCTGTTAAGCGTGAAAAGGATAGACATTTGCCCTTTCTTGATTTAAATGTGTCCAGGTTCAGGGTAATTTAGAGACAAGTGTCTACCGTAAACCTACCCACACCGACAAATACCTCGCTTTCGATTCTCACCACCCTATTTGCCATAAAAAGTCTGTAGCCAAAAATTTACTTAGGAGGGCTGACTGTCTACCATCTTCACTCGATTCGAAGGCTGAGGAGAGGAAATGTGTTTCCAATGTCCTAAAGGCAAATGGCTATACAAAAACCTTTCTCCGTAACTGCCAAAAACCAGTTACAACTAGTAACGCTCTTGATGAAAGGGAACCAGCGACTGGTTTTGCTGTTATTCCTTACATTAAGGGTGTTACGGAACCCATCAAGAAAATTGTGAATAGCCACAACGTTAAAGTTGCTCAAAAACCTTTTCAGACTTTGGGGCATATTTTCGCCAAACCTAAGGATCCTGTCACGAAAGAACAACGAACCGACGCCATTTAGTCTATTCCTTGCCATGACTGTGACAACGAATCCATCGGACAGACCAAACGCCAATCGCTCTGACGAAGGGCTAACGCTCGAAACGTCAGCTTTTTTACTCTTTACGGTGGCTAATTTACGTTTTCAACCCAGTTGTTAACACTAAATTACCTGCTATACTCTCCCACCGACGCAGCACCACAGTTTCTTTAGAAACCTACCCCTTTAGACCAAACGTCAGTTTGGTACGCGTTTGAAAGAGCACCAAAAAGCGGTTTTCCTTTGCAAAAAGGAAAATTCAGCTTTATCGGAGCACACATGCCTAACTAACCATACAATTGGATGGGATAACTCTAAAATTATCACCACTAATCGGCGTTACCACCAGCGCCTTTGTTTGGAGGCTTGGCATAACACTCCTTTAACACTCCTTTAAATCGTGACGATGGCGGTTTGCTCCCTGACGCCTATTTACACCTTGCCAGAAAAAAGGCCACTAATTAATGATCATATAAAAGGACCTCTTGTTGCGGCGTTTAGATCACTCCTGATGAAGGCACTAGACGGGAGTGTCAAAACGTTGGGTCTATGAATTGTAACTTCTTCGGTTACATTCATTAAATCTGTAAACCAGAGTAGCATCAAACCAAGTCTGATTGTCCACCTGGCTGCCGTGTGAACTTTAATATATTTTAAATGGACGGTTAGTTTGCATTCTGTCTATTTTAAAGGAGGGTTCAATGAAACTCAAATCAATTATGACCATGCCTGCATTTTAGGATGCTAGTAATTTTTTTAATTAATATGTAGCTTCCTTAATTAATTTAAATATGTCACTTTAATTTATCCTCGTTCACAAATTTCAGGATCATTCAAGGGTGACGTTTGGTCTGTTTTCTTAATCTATCAAGTATTTTGATATAATTTTTTTAAAAAAATAAGGGGCTACGAGGATATTAAGACAATACAAGAGACGGGACATATCTTTGGGATATCGTTTCATCGAAATTTCACAATTAAGGGACTCTTGTGATCTCAATTCACGGTTAACAATTTCGTAATAACGACAAAAGCCAAAACAACGCATGGCAGAAGGACACAGTTCAAATTACGTTATATGCCCCACGCCTCCTCAACTCAAGCAGGAATTCGTAAAAAGCATGAAACAAGAGGCGTGACGTTTGGATCTATAAATAAAAGCATTTCCTGTTTGTCCATATGAAACCCATTTAGCATGAAATCGCAAGTGCAGTGAGAGTACAGACGGTCAGACATTAGAATGACCATGAAAATTGTTTTGTGGATGCTAGTGATTTTAGTTTCCTTACATTCAATATCATCGCATGGCTCGGCGAGATATTTAAAGGAAATTGTCCTCGGTAGATGCTGGGACTTTCAACGGCAAAAGACGTCCGAGGTCACCCCCAAGAACTGTTCGAAATTATGGGAAACATTTCACAATGCATTCGCCTTCAAGGACCCGTGTGCAACGAATTTCTCTGATTATGAACCTTTCTTTGATGAAGTTGGAATGGACATTGTTAAAAGGGATAAGGTAAGATGGATAAGAGACACGCTCCCAAACCGCAATTACGAAAATCTGACTGCTGACTTAATTTCATCACTAACTAACTTCATTCGATTCAGTTGGATGATTCGGACAAGTTGGCGCACAGTGTTACTGTTTACCTAAATTAATCAGGAACATTGATGGAGAACTTAACAACTTAAAACTTGAATTCTCACTAACAATCCGCCATTATAGTGAATTTGTGTAAGAGAACAGGCAAAGATAGTTTGTATTCTCAAGTCGAAAACAGTGGGAGACCTTTTTCCTGGATCGAGGGAAAAAGCAACTCATAACATCATTAGCAGCTTTTTTTTTTTTTTAGTTACCATGTCTACCTATTTATCTCTCAAATATTTCGATTCGACATCGACAGGTGATCGTTTGACGCGATGAATATTTTAATTAAGAACTGAGTTTCATTTTTCCGCATTCAAAGCGTGGCCGTTAATGCAACGTAACTGAAAGCTCCAAGTGACATACGTGCCGCTAGTGGACTGCGTGACATTATATGCTAATTAGTAAAGAACTGAAACCTTGCACGCTTCTATGGTGTTTATCGCATATAAATAAGTTAACTTTTAGCCCAATAAATTGGCAATTGGTGATGGCTACAGCAGCATATACATCTTTTATGAAATTACTAGTTATTTTGTGCATAATGCGATGGTTCTTCTTTTCTTCACTTTGTTGCTGCGTCAACAAGGATATTTCGCACGCGCTAAACACCAAGGCTGCAATATTCGATGGCCTCTGAGTTTGTTTACAAGTAGATACAGTGCACAAAAGTCGGTAAGATAGAATGGTTCCCTACAGTTTAATGAAAGGCAAAGACTGAATGAAAATTAGAAGTAACTGTCAAGCATCGACATACTTTTACTTCCTTCGCTTTAGAGTGTAAACAATGATAATAAAATCATTAACTCTATCAGTAAGGGAATCAACAGTAACTTCAAATAAGGTCATAAGGAACACTCTTCCTAATTTGTCTTTCACCGATGTTTTCCTATTAGAGTCTCTTTTGGTCAGGAACATACAAAGAAGCTCACGAATACTCGGACTTTAACTCCAGGCTGACTACATTAGAAGACACAATGGCAGGGTAAGTAAGCTCAGATGTTAGTGTATTTACCGTCAGAGTCTCTTAAGCCCCACAGTACAAAGTCCTTTCCTTTTTCGTGTTACGTCCATTTTCTGTTTCTCCCCTTCCCCCGCCCCAACCTCTCCAGAAAGAAGCTTCCGTAGAGATTTCCTGGTACCCAATCATACTCAAACAACCACGCACAAGCAGAATATAATTTTTCAGTTTGGCGGTATTACACATGCGCAGTCATTATTTGCTTAATAAGCAGTTTTTGTTGGTCCCTTGGCAGGGTTTTAGCCAATGAAAAAGGAGGAAGATATGTGAATAATGACTTTCTGCTACATGTACTAAATTACTATAACAGGGAGAAGAAATTATGTGTGTTGAGTAAGGTGAAATTGTTTTAGTTTTGCGATAAGTAAAATAAGTAATGGTTTACATTAAAAACTTAATTGTTTAATTAGTTCTCATCTAACACCTCTGGACAGCGTCTGTAATCTAAATAGGTTATAGAGTGATTTGTTTTTTCATGGCATGACAAACTTCCATACTCAGAATTAAAGAAATGATTATGAAAATATAAATCCGTTGCACTCGTCATTAACTATTCCGTATTTAGAGAGATAAAGAAAAAATCTCTTAGTTCCTTGAAAAAATATGACAGAAAAGTCATTGTTTAAGTCTCTTGTTGGCTTAGAATCAATTAACATTTATTTGAAACCTTTTTGTTTTGCAAACAGATGGATAATGAATGGCTTAACTTGGTGTGGTTCAAAAAATAAATCATCTGATGGTATTAACTACGATTCCTGTCCAAATTGCAGTCACTTCAAAGCATTTTGGGGCTTAGCTTCAAGAAGAGTAAGCTTTGTTTGGTTTTCCGACATTTTTCGTATGAGCGCTGTATATATGTGAGATGACGTAGATCGACTAACTGGAAATTCCCGAATAACACATTTTAAAAGTTTAAAACCTATTCGAGTTTGTTTATGTGGCCATTCATGGTGAGTTTGCTTTTGCGGCCGCCTATTTATCAGGCCCACATTCGCTCTTTACACCTTAACATCATGATCAGCTGGTTAATTCTCCATACTACTCTTTATACGCTTCTTATGCTACAAACAAGGAGAACTTGCGTGATAATCGAGAATTACTTGACCTCGCGAAGTCATTTCCTTTATTCTCATGACCTTAACGTTTATTCAGGGAGTGATACTGTTGGGAGAAATTAGATGCTCGTCACTCTCTGGGGTTGAAGGGTTAAGCTACCCCCTTATTATTTTAAAAAATAGGATCATTGGATAATGCAATTCAAAATAATCTCAGTCAGTCAGTCAGTACATCCAGCTACCATTGCTTTTATGCGTCATGTAAATCCAAGCTGATGTCCTCTTGTTATTATTCAATGTACTAGTTTGCAGAGAAAGCCAGTGGAATCTCTCATGTCTTGGTCAACGGATCGCGGTTAATAAACGGGACACCAGCTGCTTACTCAAGAACGAAGTAAACTGTTTCCTTTTTAATGAAGGGTCTGACATTTCTTTCAAAAATTCCCTTTCATGCATGATATCATGAGTTTGAAAAATAAAAAAATATAGAAGATAAATGCGAGGCGTCACGGTGTAGCTCTCTCGGCCTCCGTTTGTTAGGATACGTCATTTTAAGATTAATCCTCAGTTTTCTACGCAAACGTATCAGTTCCTTCCGTCCTCTCAAGATAAATGTTTTCTTTTTCTTTAATTGTTAAATATTTAATTTCCTTTTAAATCGTTGTACGATGGTTCAATCCTTTTTTTTGTTTTTGTTTCAGTTTCTTTGGAAGTATGGAACTTCCAAACCTTAACAAAAGCAATGTCATTGAGCTGAAAATTCTAGTGGTCCATAACATCGGTGGTCCCATTTTGTAAGTTGATTTTCAATTATCTACTTTCATGTGCGCTTCATGACAGTTTTACCGGAACTCATTACTAAATTGGACTTTGTACAAAAAAGCTATTGTTAGGATTGTAGATAAAAGTTTTCACGGGCCTTCATCTAATGATAGATTCGCTTTTCCGCCTTTCAGTGTTATCCAAACTAACATGATGAGAAATCTCTCCCAAGTGGTTTCCCCCTGCGGTGAACCTTTCCCTTAGATTTCACTTAACCTAAGGGGTAGTATCGTTTCAGCCCCCCTATTTAATTTCCCAGTGATAATCAAAGATGTAACCGATTCAGTGTTATTAGGGTGTCTGGGCGGGAGATGGGACTTAGGGAACTAAGGACAGATCTAGGAAATTCTGACTGAGGGGGAAAATCCAAACGTTGATCCAGAAGACAAAAAGGGCTTTTTCTCTGTATTTGCTCTACTCTAATACCTAAATAAACTTAGTAACTTTCAGTAAACTTTTTATGTGTTTCAAGCTAAGAAGAATTTGTAAGAATTTCGGTGTCAGTCCCCCGAAACCTCAGCCTTTCCACTGGATCTGCTCCTGGGTATTTTGTCTGGTTCTAGTGCAGCCTCCTCGTAGCGTTTTTAGCATAGACAAAGACATTCCAGTCATTCTATTCGTGAATCAGCTCTTTGATTTTTCTTTTTGTTTTAATATGTGAAATTGAACTGTTAGCCAGACATGATTTAACAATTAGCTTTTTACAAAAATTATTAATTAGGATAGATAATATCTTTTATCTGACAAATAACACAGGGAGGTTTGTGGCAATGGCTCGATCAAAGAGATGGAGGAGGATGCTAACAAAAGAGGCATAAAAACGACTTGCCTCGATGACCCGGCGTAAGTATATCCTCCTAAATGGAACAGAGTAAAACGGGTGTGGTTCTAAAGTGGCATGACCTAATTCTCAGTTTTTGTCTAATTCCCAGTCGAATTCTCATGAGATAGCGATACCGATTCTATGAAACCCAGCACTCATTGCGACTTTTTAGGCTCCAGTGGAGAAAAGCTTTATAAAAATTTCAAAAGGATGGCAAAACTCCTACATTTCATCATTATTAGATTAAGCGGTAAATTATTACGGTGGCTACATAACAGATGACCCGGAGTAAGTATAACTTTAAAATGGAGTGAAATGGGTGTGGTCCTCAAGGGGGGAAGGTATACCTCTCATTTTAGGCCATTGTCTTTCTAATTCCAAGTATCCTTCTCACATGATAGCACTTCCAACTCCAAGAAAACCGGTGCTCCTCAAAAGAAGAGCTTTATAAAATTTCAAAACCGTAACAAAGCTACATCTCCAGAATTTATGACCGATAACAGAGTTTTTGTAGCAAAAGACAACTGAGTTACCGCGTTTTTATCTATCTGTATAGTTGGGGCCAAGAAAAGATTCTCTCCTGTTGAGGCACAACAAGCGAATAATTAAAAAGGACTACTTCAATAGATCAAAATTGGGCTTAAAAACCGGTTTTTTTTAAAGTTCTTGTAACATTGCTCTAACTCCTTTGTTTGTCGTGGTATTACCATCAAAAGGAACCTTAAGCAGTCCATATAGCAACGCCGAGGAAGACGTGGGCTTAAAAAAATGATCTATATTGTTAGTTAAGTTGCAAAAATAGCTAGACATGTTTGCCGCCTCTTTCAGCGCCACACCTTAACCTCAGCATAACGTATTTGGGCAGCGTTGAGCTCCAAATCCAAACTTAAATAATTTGCCGTTGGGGTTTCCCTTTCCACACCATGCAAGCTCCGATGATTTCACGTTGTTGTTTTGCAGAGGACGGTTTGCTTAAGTTCGTTATATGGTGACCATTAATGACGCATATGTAATTAATTCTCTTACATCGTGTGCCTCCTAAGGAAGGAGCATTGTGAATAACTTTAGAGGAATGCGCAATTTTCATGGTTAACGTTTTCATGTTTCGTCTTTAAGGCAAATTCAACATCTGCTGTGCGCTGATTTCCCAGAATCTCGCGTGTGCCGGTTCCTTCGTAGTGCAACAAGGAGTGTAACAAAGGCCGTGAGTTGTGGGTGAGTTGACTTCATCTGTTTCCATTATTTTCAGTGAGAACATCGACAATCAAACCTTAGAAGTAGTGGTAAACGACGCCATCCCATTCCATTTATTAAGACAGGTTTCGTTCCTCTTACTTAAGGTGTTTTCTTTCATTCTCTAGTTTCCTCGTCCTTTTTCTCATCACCGAGAATAGCAGCATATGATACAAATAGTTCTAAAACAAACAAGCAAACTAACAAGTGAGGACGCGCTGCCCTTGAAAACTTTTTCTCTAATAAAGGGAGAGAAGATACAGCGTTGATCTCAGGAAGAAAAAAATTATCGAGGAATTTGTGAAACATCGACGAAAAAAAGTTTAAAGTCAGTTCCCCCCTTCCCCTCTACCCTTTTCCCCCCTCCCCCTTCCATTTCTCCCTTCCCTCCTTTCACTAACCTCCCTTCCCTTTCCTCCTTCCTACCCCTTTTCCTCCCCCTTCCCCTTCCCCTTCCTTTTTCCCCCCCTTCCATTTCTCCTTTCCCTCTTCCCCTTTCCCCTTTCCTTCCCCTCCCTATTCCCCTTCCCTCTTCCTTTTCCTCTTCCCCCTTCCATTTCTCCTTTTCCCTTTCCTGTCCCCCCCTCCCTATTCCCCTTCCCCTCCTCCTTTTTCCTCCTCCCCCCTTCCATTTCTCCCTTTCCCCTCTTCTCTTTTCCTCCTTTACCCTTTCCCGTCCCCTTCCCCGTTACTCCTCCCGCCTTCCCTCCCCTCCTAATACCCTCCACAACGCCTCGAGTTTGAGCAATCCACCCATATCCTGTCCATCCTATTTTATAACCTACCGATATAATTGTAAGGAACTACTAAATTTATTTTATCATCCTCTTGACTGCTTTAGATCTTGGAAGCTGGTAGCTATTCTGATGATATCGATTACTGGAGCTGTTCTTCTGGTTGCAATAATTGGAGTAATTTATGTCAGCAGTAAAAAGAAAAAAAACCCCATTTCATTTAAATACAGACAACATATACAGGAATAAACTGTAAAACATCTAAAGGTCTTCCTTTGAAACTCAGCAAACGCTGAACATTTTGATTTGATTCTGACAGGTCAGTTGTGTAGTAAACTATCAACGTCAAGTTCAAAATGCGCAAACAATCCCCAAACTACCAAAATTATCACCGTTGTCATTTGCGGTTTAGTTTCCGACACCAAGAATTTACCTTGAAACACATATCACTTAAAAAAATATTTGGTGTCCACAGCTGTCTGAGTCTCACAGTACTTTTTGATTTGATTGTAATTCCTATGGAAATTGATGAAATATACTTGTGCTTAAAAAGTTGATGTGGAGCTTTGAGTCTTATGCATGATTATAAAAAAAAGTTACACCAATCACCTTTCTTTTCGAGAGAGTTGCACGAACTTCATCCCATGGTGTATATTTTACTGCTTGTTCACGCTTAAATCTTTTTCAATATTCGGCCAAATTTAAAACAAAAGGTATCCAAGTCGAGGTGGCTACTTTATCTCTCATTTCGTTCCGATTGACCTCTCCTACATTTGCAATGATGTTTACTTGGACAATCGGCATAGGTCAAAGGGCAAGATTTATGTATCGGTCTAACTCATTTTCAGCGTTATTGGCTGGATCGTGTCATTAGTTATGTCATTTGCGTCGCGAATGTCAAAGAAGTATTGTGTTATGTTTCTTATAAATAAGATGATCCCACGTACTGTTTGTATTTTGTGTAATTCAGTGGAGGGTTAAACGAGTCTCAAGGCTCATTATGACTTAAGCCTGCATTTTATGGAGCAAGTCCTTTTCCAGTGGAAAGGTTGCCCTCTCAATTTGATATGTGATCCACTCCTCCTTCACAAATGCCAGGGTCGTTTAAGAGTGTCTTTTGGTCTATTATAAGTCTATCAATATTTAGCCAATATCTGTTGACTGCTTACATGAATAGTGTAAAGCTAATGACTGTAAAAAATCAAGTTACGAAAAAAAGAAGCTGGAATCCAAACTTCGTAGAAAATATGTATAAACTTGTTAAATGAACCACAATATTTGGCTATAAAAATGAAACCTCCGAATATTCGTAAAATTCCAAACAAAGGGGTAACAAATTTACGCGATCGAAAGCTCAAAAACAACTAACTAAAACTCGGCGAAAACAAACAAAAGGTACGCGAAAAATGTCCACGTCAGTTTCCAATGTCAAGGTTAGAGTTTTTGGACGTGATTGGTTTTCAGTGTCTTTGATTAAATCTTTTTTTAGTCAATTCATTTGGGTCGCATAAGAGAGACGCAGTGTTTTCTTGAACACGTAGAGTTTGTGGAGGCTAAGTGAATCTCACGACTCATTTATTTCAGTTCACCCGCCAACCGTGACAAGCCATAAAAGATATTTTGGAAGGAAATGTTTCGGGCGTGAATAAATATCGGTTCAGAGTGTCAATACACTTCGGGCCTTGTCTTAAAGACTAGAGTAGGGACGATTTCTATTTGAACTATCTTTTTTCTTAATCTTTTGACAAAAAGTAAAAGGGTGATTTTAACTCATTTCAAGTTCCGGCATCGATTACAATATTTTTTTACAAATTACAATATATTCCTGCGCGCGTTGCTCGGTGAATAGCGAATCAGAGCGCTCCTTCAACGTTAGGCACTGTTTTAGTATACACATAATTAAACGATTTTATTGTTTAGGTGCGTCTAGAGATTGCGCCAGGCAGTCTGTCGATCATCTCTCATCATGCGATGAATGGATTCTGAATCTGTCGGGTTAATTGCAGTCTTGAATCATGTACTTATTTTGTTTGATTCGCTGGTTTGCTTAAGACAATTACCTGGTTATACTTGTGCTGAGTGTTTTATGGTGCCCGGTTGGTTATACTACGGCCTTGTAAGGGCAATAACTGATAGACTGTTACTGGACAACAGGTGAGCTGATCGAGTTTTATTGCGAGGAGTGAACGACTTAATGGCTTTTATTACATATTCCATTGTTTGTTTTTTGCCGTCATTGTAGTATTCAGTCAAATTGACTTTTTCCTCATAGAAGTGGGCAGATCCATGCCCAGGCGAGTACTGCCACATGTTGGTTCACCCTGTGGATTCTGGTTGTCGCTCTGAATCGTGAGATATGTCTTTCCCAAGGTCCTCTTTGTCACTGTCTCCTTTCAGATTCTTGATTAACTCCTCTGAGGACCTCTCAAAGCTGGTCATTCCTGGTGAGTAGTTCTGATCTGGGTCTCTTTTAACAAAGCGACGTCCTTCAGCCGATATTGGCTGTACAGAAAGCTCGTGCTTTTCATCTATCTCCCTGTCCACCTTCTTCCTTGTCTGCTTGGTTAGCGTTCTTCAGTTCATCACGTGACAGGTGTCCAACTATGCCAGCGCCGATTGCATCCCCAAGAACATTTACAATAGTACAGATTCGATCCCTTGAAAAGCAAACAATGAAGATCAAGAAATGAAACTCCGTTTGAAGCGAAATAGATGAATGAATAAATGAAATTATGAATGTATGAAAGAATGAACAGATGGATGAATTATCGAATAAATAAATGAATGAAGGAATGAAGGATTGAAGAGACAAGACGGGAGCGCTTTCAGGACCCTTCATATAAATATATATTGGATAAGTTGAAAATATGGAGCCCCATAAACATTGAGGACGAACAAGAATTAGAGTAAAATGAAACTCATAGTTTAAAATACTAAACGCTGATATCTTTGGTCTTACATGAACCAAGCCACATTCCAAAGAAGAGCAACATCATCACTGGTGGGGAGATTAGCAGACTGTAACGCAATCAGCATGGTAACCATACTTGCAGACGGATTTGCTGCTGCACCAACCGCCGCAGCCATAGATATCAATCTAAATGATGAAAAAAAATGACAGAGACATAACTTACCAGCGCCCTTTTGCCTACTCGAAGCATTCATTAATCAAACAGAGACGCAACGCGAAACAGATGAATTAAAAATAAGAAAAAGGTGAACGAAACGAGGCTGGATAGAGACGCTCTCCTCTTTTTATTCTTCCATTTTTCCCACTCGTACCATGACGTTTTTTCAAATAAATTTTAAAATGCCTAGAAGAGGCTTACCGAATGAAACAAAGGAGAACAGATCCCACTGACACACTCATTAGCAGTTAAGATTGATGTAGGGTAGTAGCCAACATCAGCGTGGCATGGCCGGCTTTACGGGCCCTCTATTAAAGTAAAGGCGCTGGAGCGGCGAAAACGAACGCAGAGCTCCTCTATTTAGTTCCGCTCAGCTGCTGAGTACTTCAAAGAGCGAACAAAATTGCCAGGCACGCGACCAAAGAGGGAAATAAGGTAATCAGTTCTGATTTTTGAAAAGTTAAGCCATCACTTAACATACGGAATCTTTACTTTCAAATTTATAGCCGTGAACCAGCATGATGATTTACCAACTTACTAACGACATCATCTGTTCCTTGCAGACGACTACCATTTGGAAATCCACCTTGAATTGTTTTGCAAATGGATTTTGAATTTTAAATATTTCATCCACAGTACTTCTTTATCAGTTCTGATGATTAGCAGTTAGGATCCCGTCAGTATTTAGCGCCGGGATTTGGGGGGTTGCAGGATTTTGGGGGATCACATGGTTTTCATGACACAACCGTGACACAGCGTTTCACGGCTATCGCTCTGACGAAGGCCTAACGTTCGAAACGTCAGCTTTGAAACTCTTCACGGTGGCCAATTTACATTATCAACTCATTTAATATCACTAAATTACCCTGCTATTCTTGAAACAGAGTCCATTTTGGTTACACAAGAGTTTCTTAAATCAAGTTTTTTATGTAGAGCGTTTTTTACGGGCACCCAATACACATTTTGGTGAGAGAAGATATGTTTCTTTAGCCCTAGAGAGGCAATGTACTTACATAATAGTAATAACCTGTCCTGCCCCAAGGCTGATTCCGTGAAGCTGCGCGATCCAGAGAACACAAACGCCTTCGTACAACACGGTTCCGCCCATATTAACTGTGGCACCCAACGGTAGAACGAAGCGACTGATACGTTTGTCTACGTGATTGTTCTGCTCCACACATCTCATGGTCGTTGGCAAAGTGGCAGTGCTGAATTAAAGACGTGATAATTGGAAGTTTTTAAGAAAAGAAATAGGAAACGCCTCTTCTCGCGCACATACAGTAACCTGTAATTTTGTTTGGAATACTGGCTTCAATTCACCTTCAGTAATACTTAGTCTGCCTTCATTCATGTACCTTAATGGAACCTGTTTATAAAAATAGACTTTCTGAGACAAGAAACCTCTTTACTGGTGTTGCTATTTTTCTCACCAGTATAAAAGGCAGCATAACTACGCGTAAACAAAACCGAATCGCTTTTCCCGCCTTTCAGGGGACTGATGGGCTTTAACAATTAAACTTTCAAAAAATATTGTCTACAGACGATTTATACTGGGGATGAGGATAGTCAACATGCCTATTTTCCTAAAACCGAGATTTAAGACTGCACAAGCTGTACATGGGCAAGTGGTAACAGAAGGAATCATTTCAATCAGCTAAAGGATTTCTGGGACGCCGCTTACAACAAACACTTATGACAATCTCGGAGTCGCTGGAATGGAAACGCACCCTATGTAATAGACCGACGCACAAGGGATTTACAACTTAACCCTTAACACCCTGACATCAATATGCATATTCTCCATACTGTTTTTTATACATTTCCTATGGTGCGTGTAAGGAGAATCTGTTTGAAAATCAAACACTTCTTCAGCCTGTGATCATCTGCTTTATTCTCCTGACCTTAATGTTTGATTCAGGGGTGATCTTGTGAGAAGAAATTAGAGGTTCGTCATGCATGAATCGAAGGGTTAAGAGCCCTCCAAAAAACACAGAAATAATTATGACACCGACCTGGAATCTGTACCGTACGCTGTTAATATGGCATCCAACATATTTTTGATGTAAATAATCGGGTTTTTCCTTGTGAAGATCAAATAAACCAGCGGCAAAATAATAAAGCCGTGGCAGAGAAGACCGGCTATGGCGGTAACCATAAGATACCCCAGCATTTTCAATGCATACTGACTATCATGCATGCCGACATAGTTAGCAGTTATCAAACTACAGGTTCCAATCGGAGAGAGCCTGGTGAAAAAAAGATGACGATTAGCGTTGAAATTAAACAGCTTAAAAAAGGTGATGTTCGACTTTCCTGTTTGTTTTGGTCAAAATCCGTCAAAAATTTCCAACCACCACGGATACCACTTATCACTTTCCTCAGCGAAATTCTGATGATGCCCATCATCCTTTGATTTACTGTTGTGGCTTTATGATTTTCAAGTTCTCGTGCAGTAATAAAAAATATAATTTTTTGGCCAGCC